GAGAGAGACGGCAATAGAGCCAGGCTTCAGCGTAGAAGTAGAAATAACCCCAAAAAATAAGCAACAACTGTGAGTTGCTCGTTGCTTTTGCTTTTTTATCAGCGTGAGGATCTCTTATCAACTCACTTGCATCTGCGCTCTCAGCGGAGTTTTTTTTCGTTCATTTAAGTGTGTGTGGGGCAGGGGGCAGGGGCATCGAGGTCAGAGGAGGAGCAACAGGGAAGCGGGGGAGTGCCTCCAAGTGCTGCGTCAATCGGAATTGCATAAAAAACACTGAAACATTAAAGGGTGTGCAATCAGTACGTTTCTACTACGTAAAATCATTTTGATAAAAAGAAAATTATATTAAAATATTTTGAACTGGTTACAATATGAAAGATACATTTTTTTAAGATTACCTTTAAATCTCCAGGTATTAGCAAAAATTCAAGTAGCATTTTGAATATTTTCTGTGTAATAATTCACTCATTGTTGCTGCTGCCGTTGTAGTTTTTGCTTCGTATTTTTAGCATATTTTCTTGAAAACACTTTTTCGATGTAGTGCAATCAGCAGACGTTGATCTGTCGCATTTGTTCATATTTATGTCAATAAATGAGCACGTAACAACAATGACAAACATAGATACACACGCACACACCGAGCCAAGCGTATGAATGTACGAACTTGTAGCAACATAATTGCAAAACAATTGCCACTGCCAAAGTCGAAACGAGATGGCGAATTTTCGGGGGAAAGAGGCAGCGTGAGTGCTGGCAGTTCATCACCCCAACAACGTAGAGCAACAACCAGCCAGAACCAACAACAACCAGCAGCAACATCAACAACAACCCGAAACAACCGCAGCGGTCGCGTTTATCAAAAACCTTTTGCAGATATTCACGCATGAAGTGTTTATCGCTGCATAAGCTCGAAACAAAAAAAAACACCCACAAACTGCTGAAAATTTAATCTAACACATAAGCAGGCAAAAAAGGTTAAGTTGATGGGAATCGCAAGGAACAACGAAATCCGTATACCCTGTACCTAAAATAATAAAAGCGGGGGACTATTCAGAAGTTTCACAATTAGAAAATCAAACAATTGGTTTGCATCAAACTTTTGGGCACTTACTTATTATACCAAATTCAGAGAAACTAGGTCATATGTCCTGGTACTCAATTTAAAAAACTACTGCATACTTCTTGGGGACTAATATTGTTAATTAAGATTAATTTTATTAAAATTTTGTAAAGACCTTACTATTTTCTTAAAGTAAACATTTTTGAATTAAATTACTTAAGTAAAGGAGCCAGCGCAATATCAAGATGCTTTACCATTTAAGCGCTAGGTCAAATATGAAATAAAAAGGTTGAAGACTCATCGCTTATCATACTATTTACCCCCATTTAAGCTCACGTTGATCTAAACTTATGCGTCCCTGAACATCCATATCTCATGGATATCTAGGGTATTTTTTAAGTCGTGCTGAAAACCTTGGACCCAGGGGCTAACCGAAGGGGGTTGCAAGGGAGTTGGCGGCAAGCGGCACGTTTAATGAATCTAATTAAAAGTCAACAATGGCAAACGAGATAATCGTTGCCAGCAGACAACAGCGAAATCAGCAGGGGGAGGTTGGTGGGCTAGGTTGTTTTGGGTATAGTTCGCTATATATTACGATATCAACTATAACGCATGCGCAACTTGCTGGCAACAGCTGATTACAGAGAGCGAAATGAGAGAAAGAGCGGATGGGCAGGAGAAACCGGGCGATTTTTATCGCTGGGAAAGAAGAAAACGTTTTTTTTTTGCATCTGCAAAGTTGCCAGGGAAATGGAAATAAACCAAACGCCGATAGGAATCAGAGGCGGAGGTCGCTCGAGATGTAGATGGGGAGTGCCAGGAAGGAGCGAGAGAAAGAGTAGCAAAAGCAACATAAAAATAGATCTACGTCGGGCGATAAGCTCTCGCAAGGAAAACCGAACCGAGAAAACGCCGAACAAAAGCCCCGTGAGCCAAAAGCTGCAGAATGATGATGGAGAGTTGATGGAGATGCAGATAGAAATGGCCATGTGGATGCGGCCGGAGGAGGTGAATGATAACCGATGGGAAGACCTGTGCGAGATCTCACTGTACCGGGAGGAAATACACTTTAATCTGAGATTATGCAACTGAATCCCAAAAACTCCAACGTAAAACTTATAAACGAAAAAAACAAAAAAATTTAATAACTATGATTTGGTTTTCATAATTATACTCTAAACATATTTTGTTATTCCGAAATGCAAAATAAGGTTTTGTTTCCTACACAATATACTTTAAAAATCAATTTTCCATTTTCTAAGCGTGTTCCATACACCCCTTTTCGTTCAGTGCATTCAGATACAGATACAGAGATACAATTAAACACAAAACGCTTATCACTAAGCAATAATCAGAATTCCATTAGCCGTAGACGCGATATCGCTGAAAAGCATCTCCCTCGCGCACCGACACACACACAGTGCACACCCTCTCCGAATGTATCTTTGTATCTGTATCTGCAGTGGTGTTGGTTGTGTATCCGTTCGCTGCTGGTTGGTTGGCTGCTTGCTTGTTGGTTTTGGTTCTGTTTCTGCGATGTTATCTAAGCGCAGAGCTCGCCGCGCTGCGCCCTTATCAGTGCTTTATCAGTTTTTGTTTCGAATAATTCCGAGGCGAGCGAAGGAAGTCGACCGCAGCAGAGCAGAGCGGAGAGTCCCAGAGTCTCAGAGCTCCAGTCGCAATATCTTATTTCAGTTGCCAGCGGAGCGACGAGCGAGAGAGTTTCTCGGCTGCTGATACGAATCCCATACACAAGCCCATACCCACAGCCATACCCACACCAGTACGAATCCCAGTTCGAAACCCAAAGATAAACAACTTTTGGCCCGGCATCCCGGCATCAACAAACATCAGCTGTGCTGCGTCGTCATCGTCATCCCATCGCATTGCCACTCGGTTCAGTTCAGTTCGCTCGCTCGGTTGGTATCTGTATCGGTTGTATCTGTATCTCACAGCGGCGCACGAAAATTTCATTACTCACCGCCTCACTCAGCCGGTCGGTCCGAGTATTCAGTTTGCTGTGGAACGCGGAGCAGGCAGCAACCACGAGCGGTACGCGCGGTAGTCAGAAAACTCAAATCCCAACGGAATGAGAGCCACTATACGATACCATACCAAAACCATAACCATACGATTCGTTCGTCATAACGAAAATTTGAATAATTGTAGTGCAGTGAGTGAGTCAAAGTGAATTCCCACGAGAAGTGACAACATAATTGCCCTTTAAGTACGGCCTAAACCGAAAGCTAAAACATGTGCGAGTGAGAAAGTGAAAGAGCTGGCCAACAACTAAACCTGGATTATCTGCCAAGTGGATTACTATATATAGAAAGAAAACAATGCTCAGTAGCAACTCAAGAGGTGAGAAACATTTAAATAGAGTTGCGAATGGAACTAAGGGGCTTATGAGTAATGCAGGAAAGGAAGAAACCAAGAAAATGCAATTACCTTGAGACCCTTTTTATTACTACCCCATGTTATGGGAATCTTAACTGAATTTAATGAAATAATATCTCTGTAAAGAAGTACATTTAGTCATAGAATAAACATTTATACCGTTTTTCTGTCAAAAACAAGATATTGCAGCTCAACTGCGTATCGGGTTTAGATGTAAACATATTCATCACTTCCCTAGAAACGATTAGGATTTCCCAAAATGTTTATTTACTCAAAAAAGCACTTTGAATTATACATTTGAGATTAAATTAAAGTTATTCATTAGTTATTGATGAAACTAAACTTAGAAAATTCTTGGAAATGGACATAAAAACCAGATAGGAGTAATGAGTACCACAAGCATATTTCAATGGATAAGTATCGAGACTAGTCACTTGATAATGTATTCTAGAAATGTAAATAGCAATTGTGAACTTTTATTTACTCATTTGGTAATATTGAGTTTGAGTCGTAAGACTTTAAGAGGAGCTGTTCCCGCTTAGTTCCCTCTGGCCTACAATCAACCTGCAAGTCATGTGTGGGTGTACTGCTAAAACGGAAAATCCCGCCAATTGCTATCGAAGCCAGCCTTTGGACCCTGTCGTCCTAGGAGGGGGAGGGGTGGGGAATAAGGTCCCAATACCGCCTGTCCGACATGTCCGACACTGTACACTGCTCACTGTAGTCCAAGTCCAAGTCCGCATTTCGCGTCCATGGCAGCCAGCTTTCAGTTGCTTATCAGTCGCCTATCTGCGCTGTGTGGCTTCACATTCATTCCACGGCCTCAGTTTGGCTCGGCTCATATGTATCTGCATCTGTGAGTACGAGTATCTGTATCTGTGTGTATAGCTGCGCTATCTCCGATCTGCGGCGAACGAAGAAGAGGAAGACGGGACAGGGGCCGCAGAGGAGCTGAAATGAAAACGAAGGAATTCTGCGGATTGTTGTTATTATTGTTATTATAATTCCTTGAAGTGAATAATCAGCGAAATATAATCAAAAATGAGAAAAACAACACAAAGAGTAGTGCGATGTACAGAGGGGGGTACTTTATGCTGGGTATACTGGGCACTGGGTACTGGGTACTCTGGGTACTTCGTACTGAAGTTTAATCGAGTAGAGTGAAGGCTCGGACACCGGCCTCGCAAACCAACAACAAACCAACTACTGTGCGTAGTTCGTAGCAAACTCAACTTTGCCAACAGAAAAGATGCAAAGATACTGGGCAAAACAGAGAATGGGTGGACAAAAGCAAACAATGCGGCCCTCGCAGCAATTATTATCGCTTTTAAAGTAAAGCCATTTGGCTGGAACTATCTGCGATATATATCAGCAACTATTAGTCGAGACCTTTGGGCGGGAAGTATCCGTGGAATCAGACGCAGTCCTAAAATTGTTTCAAACAAATATTTACAATTTCACTGATCCTTGATATAGTATCTTAAAATATTGCTTCAAATATTTTTACCATATTTAAAGCCAACTTTTTAATTCATTTTTTCAGGTGATTGTTCCGATACCACAGAAGAGATGACCGTCGACAGCAGAGGTAAGCCAAGTTGAAATACTTGTCTGTATATAAGAAAATCCTCTTCAATGTAGAAAACACATCCTGTCGCCTGTCCGTTGTCCTTTTGTCCGCCGTTCAATCCGCGATAAGTTAGCAGCTTAAACGAAATGGGCCAAAGCCAAAAAATAAATTCTTATCTGTTCGACTGCAGGAAACAGGCGAGTGACCCTGTCCTCCTCTATCTCTCTGCCCCTATGGCTGTCTCCCTCTGACAGACATAACCCGTTAATGCCCAATAATAAATTCCTCGATGTGTGTAGATCCAGGAATTTTAAACCCATCCCTGCTGGCTGCTGATATTCTGCCAATAAAAATTTAATCCAGAAAAAAGATGAAGACGAGAGCTCTCTAATTTAATACAATTTTTATCAGTGCAGTGGCACTGCTTCCTGCGGTTTTTGTGATTTTGACACCTCAGACCTTATAAAAACCCTTTCGGGAAAAGAAGGGTGGAGGGTGGCGGCCACAACCCTCGTTTCAGTCGCTTCGATGGACTGCAGGAAATGACAACGGGTCACTCTCACTCTATTTACAAGACCCCTTTACCATTATTTTCTAACCCTCCCCTCGGGTGGAATTTTGACTTCACTCCGACATCATTGGCATCAATTTCATATCACTTCATAATCATCAGCAATGTCAACGTCATTGAGACGATGTCTCTGACCCGACCACCCAACCACCACAACCCTTCTGAAACTTGACTTTCCCAGGAGCGGACTGTCGCTTGAGGTCTGAGTTGAATGTTTTCAGTAGATAAAGGATGGTAATAAACCTCGAGGATTATCGTAAAGTTTAGAAGAGTTTATTGGAATTTATCTGGGTTGCAGTCTTAACCTAACAGTTTCCTAAATATTTTTTATAAAGGGTTGGTAAAGAATTAGTTTTTCAACTATAAAATATTTATGCTTACCGCACTTTTATTAAATATCTCTTAGTAAAGCATCTTTAAAACAATGAATTTGCAGATTATCCAATAATACATAAGCCAGTTTAATCCGTAATCTAAAACCTCAACTCCGCTCCTGCTCTTTTTTGGCTCGACATTCCGCACCATTTCGCTGCCATCTCGAGCATTCATCATTAATAATCCCCTGAAACTGGCGGCAATTGGAGCAGGGCCTCCCAACCCACCCCGTCCCATCCTCCTCCCGTTTCCCCGCTCCAAATCCAAATCTCAGCCCTTCCACGTGGCCGTTTTTGTGCTGCGTCAGTGAAAGATTTCCAGCTTGCGAACACAGGGCCACAAAAGCCAGATGGGATCGGCATGGGGGATGAGGGGCAGGGGAATCGGGAATCGGGGGGCGGTTGAGTGGCCAGTGGGCGTAACAGTTCGCCTAAAAAGTGGGCGTTTGTCTGGGCTAATCTTTATCTGGCTGTTGACACTCCATGGCGACGCCAAGCGACCGAAGAGTTGAGTTGGCCTGGCCAGTCAGCCAACAACAAACGTGGGGAAAGCGTGTGGCATTCCTTTGGGCCGGCCAGCCACCCACCTCCCGCCACCCACTGATGTCCCCCACTTTTTTGGCCAACAGATTGCCATTGCCGCACTTGCACTGCCTTGCCTGCCGACCAAATTGGATTAGGCCTCTTTGGTCAACGTTGGTGATGGTTTTCGGGAACCTTAAGTTGGGATTGCTTCAGATACTAAGAATTGAATTATAAGGCTGATCATGGTGGGCAGTATAACATATTTAGGTCCAGAGAGTTTCCTTTAAATTTTTAGTGGTGGTTCGGAGTACATAATATATAATTATTCAATCCTAAAATTACATACATAACAAATATTTATCAGGTACCATTTGGTACAAATCTATTTGTACAATAGCCATATTTATGAAATCAGAAAAATTGTTTGGTGTATTAATAAAAAGTTTTCCGGAACGTACTTAGGTATCCTTGAATAGTTTTAATATTTTTATCCGTAATCTCTTTTTAGGGTATTTCATCTTCTGTCTAGCAGTGGTTTTGTATCTTGTAGGTTTTTCTGGATCCGCCCCTCGATGTTTGTTTGTTTGTGGTGACTCCTGCTGCTGTTTGAATGCCCCTCCCCCTTCCCTGATTTCCTTTTTCACTTGCTGGGTGTATCTGGTGTATATGTATATATATATATATGGTGAATCTGGCGATGATGATGATGACGTTGCTCACTTTTGGCGCTCTTCATTTGTTGTTGCCCCTGTGCAATGTACTGTAAGCGCATCTCCCCGTCCCTGTGTGTGTGAGTGTTAGTATCTGTGAGAGCTCCTGCATGGGAGTGTGTGTGTTTGGTTTTTATCTATGAAATTCATGAATGCTTCGGCTTATCTTGCAGAATTGCATACTTGCAGCCCAGGCTCTCCCCCTTTTGGCCTGGCTTTTTGGTTGGCTGCTCCTCCGGTTGTCGGTTGTTCGGTGTTCGTTGTCTGCTGGCTGTTTGGCTGCCTTCTAATGGCGCTAAGTGGTGACCCCCCACCCTCCCCTCTAATGGCATTTTATCTATGGCATAATTTTTTATTATGTCTCCCTCTGTGGCTGTGCTGTTGGCTTAATGACAATCCGGCCAAAGCGAACAGAAAACGAACCACACACAGACAGCGAGTCAAATTGTTAGATAGCTTTTCGGCATGTAATTAATCATTTGACAAGGTTCAAGCTTCGGGGGGCGAGGAGCAAAGTTTCTCTATCTCTTTATGTTTTTTTCTATTTTTTGGGGTTCATGTTCATGCGGGACGCGTTGCAATTGCTGCGGGCCAACGGCGAGTGCAGCAACAGCAACAACAAAGCATCGACAGCAGCGGTAATCGAAAAAAGAAACCATTACACGGCGCTCGACCTTATCAGCTGCGTTCCATCATCAACACACACAACCCTTACCGGGCCAACTTTAGCCCGCTTTCCTTATCCTTACTGGAAAAATATCAAGCATACGACATGTGGGCCGGCAGTAAGTGCACTATAAAACAGGGAAATCGCACAGGTTGGGTGCTTACTATTTTCTCGATTTATGATTGGAAATATAAAGCCCTGAAATGGCACTCTGTTTTTTCCGATCCATAAAGTTGGGGTGACGGGCCATTTCAGAGAGCCAAATATATTTTATACTATTTTAACAATAAATTACCACCGAGCAGAAGTTCCCTTCGGATACGATGAAATATTGAGAGGAAAAGATGTAATACACGGAGAGAAAAGGGAATTGTAAATATAAGTATTACAGAATTTATATACATTTGGGAAGTTTATAAACCATTCTCACTATCAGTTCAGTCTTACTATGATGTGACTTACGTAAATGTTTGGATATACATGTTCCTTAAAATATTTTTGTATGATAGTTAAAAGAAATATTAAAACAGAATGTCTGTGCAAATTAGGGAACCTTTATTGTGTTTATAGTACATATTATTTCCATTTTCCTGACTTTTTTCCCTGTGTGGATAGCACAAACGGCAACCTCGTAATCCTTTTTGCGGCGCGGCATTTATGAAATGTATTCCCGCCTTATCGGTGGCCACAGATCGCAGCTGGCGGTCCTGCTCCTGCTGCCTAAATCCCCTCCTGACCCATGGTCCTCGGACTCCGATGATGATGATGATGAGTTCGACTTGGGGGCTTTGGTCATAAAATGCTCGGCACCAAGTCGAAGGACTTGCCTTGTCCTTGCGGTTGCGCAGACAAAGGAGTCGGGTGGGAAATGGGAAACGGAGGAGAAAGGACCTGGGGTTGGCCTCACTTTTTGCGGTGGCCATAACACCAAACGCAATCCTTTGGATAAATTTTCTTATCTTTGTCGACCAGACGACGATATTATTTTTAATACAACAGCCGAAATTTGTATGTGAGTGTGTGAGTGTGGCTCGTAAATGTGCGTGTGCCAGCGTGGGTGTGAGCGTGTGTGATTTATGCTGTAATTTTTTTATGTATATAGCAAGCATTACAAAGCTCTTTATCATTCTCCACAAAATATGGGATTCTGGAAGAAGGGGTTGCTCGTGGGTTTTGGTTAAAATTTGAATTTCGCTTGGGGACGAACTCTTATGACTTGACCTCCGTTTGGGGGTATTTTTGAGATTTAGAGGGATTAGGTTCGTTACTTTTTAAGTCTTTCAAAAGCTTTTAAAGTCTTAAAGTTTTTTGAAATGCTTGACTTGAGTAACGGAGTTAAAGAATACTTAAAACTGCAAATGTATTTCGTCGATCATTTAGATACTTATCAGATCCCTTAAACCACTTAAATCGATTTAGGTCTGTATTGAGAAATCACATTGAGCAGGGACACACATCTGTCAATCAATTAGTGGCATGTCAGCACGTCGCCTTTTCATCTGGTGGATTCTCAGACCCCCGCTTGTCTTCTGAGTTGGCCTAGGATTTCCATTAACCCCTTAGACCAACCACCCCCTTTTATTTTCCCACACTCTCATGGCTGTTTGCATTTGGTCCTTAGCCGTTTTTCAACTGCTTAACTCACGCACGAATGACCCTCGTCATTGATGTTGATGATTCCTGATTGCTATTGCTCCTTGTTTGCTGGCTTATTTGTACAAATCCAGTGCAAAATTCAATCAACGATCGAAGCGCATAAATCGAATTGAAGGGAATTGCTAAGGGATTTGTCGAGTCAGTTTTGTGTGCGTTATAAGTGATAAGGTAGTGTGAGTACCCAGACCCCCTTAAATTTTTGAAACACTTTCAGAGCTCATTACAAGCTGTTAGCAGGCACTTTGCACTTCATCATCGCCAGGTTGGCCTCTATGGATGCCTCTGCATTTATGGCTTATTTGCTGCCTGTCAGTCACTTGGCTACCTACCATCCCCCTCTCCTCCATTTTCCACACTCTATAAGACTCCGACTCTGCGAGACCATCCCAACTCATTCGCAATGTTGTAAACGTTTATGGTGCCACCCGAAGAGCAGCCCTCCAATCATCCCATACCCATACCCGTTTCCATTCCCATCCTCATCCTCGAACACTGTCCTCTGGGCCTTCGTGTTG